AATCCGCACTGCACCCTTGCCCATCCTTCCTGACCTGCACGATACCTCTTGCTCACCCTCCTCAACTCACGCAGCGCCTCTCGCACACACCCTTCCATCCTCGTGCACTCTCACCAACCCTCCCCTGCACCCCCGCACACCCCCTCACTTCCTCCCCCACCTGGCAGCAGCCACTTACCTGCCTGCTGGTGTGGGACTTGCAACTTCCTGCCGGCTTCTCCAGGCTTTGCTGCCCAGGTTAAGGGAAGCTGGCAGGAAGTTGCCTTGCCTAACAACCGTGGGATTCAGTTAATGACAGCAACTGGGACTGCAGGGATCGCCATCGCTAAGCGATATGGTCGCGCTTTACGACCTCAGCACTGCTTAGCAGTGGAAATTCCTGTCCCAATTGTTGAAAGTTGAGGACTACCTGTAGCTGTGAAGGACAGGAGGAAGCGCTGCTATCAAGGCAACAATTTTATCAGATAAAAGTGGGCTGAGCCCAGTCCAAGAAAGTAACTTGAGTAAATGTCTCAGACAAGCCCCTTCCTAATTCACACAAAGTTAAAGGGAGGGAGAGAGGGGGGAGCACATTCAGGCTTCCAAGAGTCTGTTACTATAGCTGTTACAATGAAGTAACAATAAATAAATAAAAGTAGTAAATAAAGTAAATAAAAGTAGTACTGACGTACATGGCATTGGTTTCTTAGTGTGATCTACCTTGAAGGTCTGACATGCTGCTGCATTCTAGATCAGTTATAGTTTCTAGAGAAGAGATTCCCAAATTTTCCTGGTTCACTGCACCCTTAGTGTCTCAGTAATTTTTTCACAGAGCCCTAGGCTACAACTGTGAACTACCTCCAGGGAGCAGTTTGTGTGGTGTCTGACAGATTTTGAGTATCGCTGTGTTTCCCTTGAAAATTTAAAATATCCCATGGCATTCCTGTGAGTTTGCTGCAGTACCCTGTTTAGGAACTGTGGTTCTAGGGGTTTTCAAGGATAGCCCACTGCAAAAGGTAATGTATCCAAGAGCTGATCAGTGTGTGAGTGACTATGAGCAGGATCTCCTGATTGAAGAATGGTTGTAAGAGGGACCAGAGGGAATTGTTGCAAATATGGCAAAATAATGTGATTAGCCCAGCTATGTTCCCTTAAAAAAATACTGGTTTATCATGCAGGGTTTCTGTGAACATAAGCAATGAAAGGCTTTAAACTGTTTAACAGACTTCAGTTACTATATAAATAATAATATCTAAGAATTGTGAATCCAGGAACATCTCCATGGAACTCAAAGAGTCATGGTAGGATACATTTGGGGTCAGCAGAAAGCCATAGTTTGTTACTAAAATATGAGAGCAGTGTTCTTGGCTTCTAAATATATAGCACACCTTAGAAAAATAATTTCTTTAAATAGTTTTCTGTTTTTCTTTTCACTCTAACCAGACATCCAAATGAAGAAAAATATCGATCTATTCGGATTGGAAATCAAGCATTTTCCACTAGATTATTGCCTGTCAGAGGAGCGGTCGAATGTCTGTTTGAAATGGGGTTTGAAGAGGTAGGTACCTTGAAATTGCCACCTAGAAGAATTTCACTTGATCCTTTTGAAACTTTTCATTATTCTCACCCTCATTGTAGAATACTTGTGTTTCCTCATTCTGGCCCTATTCAGGCTTTATTTGCTAAGGAAAACTTGACCATTTTTTAAGATGACACCAACTTCTATTCTTTTGATAATCTAAACAATATATATGCCATATACAACCATTCTTGGTTATATTATAAACTGTATTATAATTTGTATAGACACACAAATTAGTCTGCTGGGAGACTAGTGGGCTTCCTTGTACCGTTGGTTGATCACTGTGAGAACAGCTGCTGGACTAGATGGGCCAAAGAGCTGACCCAGCAGGGCACTGTTTATATTTTATGTTCTTAAGCTATTCAAAGTGCCCTGAAAGTTCTTTTAGGATAGCAGATATTTTTTGCAGCATTTTATTGATTCCATAGATTGATTGATTGTTTCCTCACTGCATTTTACATTCTACTCCAATTCTGGGATATCTGAAATGATATTTCACCAGCATTCCTTTTGAAGCTGATACAACACAACAAAGAGAAAAAGACCATAGTTGTGTTTAGAACCCAGGGTTTTGTGTATATTATACACATTGTACTTGGAGGACTTTATGGCAGAACAAATTCTTTCCTATGCTGTGTATAATAACAGAACACAAACGTTCCGTTATCTAGAATTATTTTGTTGTTGCAATTGCGTTCTAAGCTAAATTTCTTGCTAGTAAGTTCATAAAAATGATTTCTTTCTCTTAACTGCCTTTCTTCAAATTATAAGGTGCATAGACTGGCTGTTTATCAAATACCTGTCCAAATAAGGTGATTCTTTTCTTAGCCTACCAACTTTTAGAACGCGGATCAGTAGCTGCTTAGTTGAGAAACCTGGCACTATTTTCCCATTACTAATGGCAGCTGAAAACTAACGCTGTGCCCCCACTAATGGGTTTCAGCATCATTGGGAGGATTAAATTTTCCCCTTCCATTTCAGTGATTCTGTTTGTAGATTGCTAATTCCCCAGTAGTAGAAACTAGCAGTTTTCAACATACAGGTAGTCCTCTTTTAACCACCATTCATTCAATGACCATTCAAAGTTACAGCGGCACTGAATGAGTGGTACTTATGACCCGTCCTCAAAGTTCCGGCTGGCCCAGTACCCCTGCAGTCATATGATCATGATCTGAGTGGCAACTGGCTTGCACTTACAATGGTTGCAGCATCCCACTGTCATGTGATCATCATTTGCAACCTTCCCTGCCAGCTTCCCAACGCAAAGTG